GCATCTTGGGTATAGGTAGGAAGATAAGACTAAGACCTCGAGGCCTCTTTGGACAACCTGTATACACTACTTGTGAGCCTCGGTGAGGCTTGAACTCCTGATTTCTTTAGAAAGATACCCTTGAGGTAAAAATTATTCACTTGACTTTTCTATTGTTTACATTCTATCTTTAATCTATCATAACTTACTCATAGTAACTTGGAATTATATGATTTTTATGTCATCGGAAAGATAAAAAAAAATATCTATATAAAATTATAATTTTTAATTTTTACTTTTTCTTTTTTTGGATGAAAATCTAGTGAACAGACTATGACTTAGTTTTGGATTTTGTGATTACTTGATTTCATTTCTTTCACTTGTATTGTGATATTCTTTTTGGCAATTGCTTACTTCACTTTATACCACCAATTACAAGCAACTTTTAATTGAGGCTATCTTGTAATTGGAGTTGACGAGTGAAATTTACACTCACATAAATGGTGCATTTGCTAGGAGATAGTGCTTCAAATGGTGTGTGAGAATGTGAAGTTAACTTTTGGTGAATAATCTTGCTTGGACTTATTGTGTGAGCATTGCAATTTAGTCTTCATTATTTTTAAGTTTTCTACCTCTCTCCTTGTAGGTGTAAACAAGGCCTTCAAATTTTTAAAAATCAAAAGATAGTTAAAAGTTTTGTTGTTGAGTAGAATGTTGATATGCTCTTGGATTTTTATCAATCCATTTTTGGGTGTTTGATATTTAAAGTTGAAACTTTGGAAATGTATGTATCTTGCTGTTAGCTTTCTAAAAACTTATTATACGCTCAATTTAGGGCTATAACAAATTTGTGGTGAATTTTCGAACACAAGAGGGTTCACTGCCTTGGCAGTTTTGTGTACCCTATCTTTGACAAGGCATTTCTAAGTGCCAGATAAGTATTTTATAATAAAAATTTATGGATACAAGCACCTCAAAGTTGAGTTTTTAGTGGTGCAAAATTCAATGCTTTTGTATCTATATTGAAATTTTGGCGATTTTTGGAGTGGAGAGAGGTTTCTGCCTTGAGCAAATACAATTGAGGTTAGTGATTTCTATCTTTTCAATCATTTACATTGTTGATTTTTTATTATTCTTTTAATTTTTTTTTAAAAATCTCTCAACTATATTAAATTATAATAATAATAATAATAATAAAGAAGAATAGAAAATAAATAAAAATAAATAAAGAAGAGAATTAAAAATATAATATAATATAATATGATATTAATAATAAATAATAATAATATTATTAAAATAAATAAATTATTTAATTAATAAAAAATAAAATCAATTGATAATTTATTTTTACTTTTAAATTTATTTTTATTCTTATTTTTGCTTTTATTTTATTTTACCTTATTTAATTTCATTTTTATTTTTTTATTATTTTTTTTTATTATTTTCTAATTTATTTATAAATAAATAAATAAATAAATAAATAAATAATTAATTTACTTGCCTTTTATCTTTACTTTTTTTGTTCAATATTTACCATTATTTTTATTTATTGATATTATTTTTCTTTTTATTAGATGCATTATAAGTTTTATATATTGACTTAAGTCTAATATATTTTTAATTATTCATTAAACTATTTTTTATGCAACATTACTATTTCTAATCTTAAGTAATATTGGATTGGTTTGGTACTAGTGTTAGCATTATTTGGTGGTTTTCTTTAGGTTGGTTGTCACTTCCAAAGCATCAAAGGTGGAGTTTGTCTTCAAGGTTTCATCACTCCCTCATAAATTTTCCAGTTGAGCACCTTTCTCTAAAGGTAGGAGGATTTAATCACTTCCTCCATCCCTCGTACTATCTCTTTGCATTCTTGTAAATTTCTAGTAGAGGGCCTTTTTCTAGTGGTAGGGAGATTTAATTACTCCCTCCATCCTTCATATCCCTTTAAAAAGAAATTCTTTTAAAAAATATTTTCTTCTTCTATCCAATTTTATTTTCAAATTTTGTATCTTGTTTGCTTCTCAACCATTGTTTTGCATAGTATGAATTTTCTAAAAGTTTCACTCTTAGCTCTAAAGAAGTATACTTAAGAATATTAAAAATCATCATTTGTAAAGACTAAGCAATATCATGTACCTTCTAATGATTAATGTAATATAGGTCCTATTACATCTATATAAATCAGCTCAAATATGCTAATTTTACTTATGTAGAATTTTTGAGGAGTACATTCATAATGTTGTTCTTTAAGTTGACACCTTTCAAATTAAGTTTTGGTGTCATCAATTCTAAGCAATCCAATTACTTTGTTCATTCTAGATAAATAACTCATTGCATAGTAGTCAAGATGTCTAAGTTGATAATGTTGAAGGTATAGATTATATTTTCTTATTATACTATTTATTTCTACTATTAGATTTTTTAAGTGTTAGGATGCTACAGCAAAGTCAAAATTTACTACTAGGTTCTTGAACTCATATAGTTTGCTTATTGAATTTTTATATCTAATGGCTATAATTTTTTTATTTTTAATATTATTTAGAATCCAACAATGATCTTTTGTGAACAATACTTTGTTTCTTATAGTTGTAAGTCTCCCTATTGATATAAGACTTTTGTGTATAGAAGATACATAAAAAATATTGTTGAGCTTTATTTTATTTGATCCAATGGCTACAATGGCCTTTTTGCAGTCTTTGATCTGATGAGATTTTTTTCATGCCATAGTGATAAGTCTTTTATTTAATATGTGTATTATTTTTAGTATATTTATATTACTTATGATATGATTCAAAGCATTGCTATCCATATACTGCTTATGCTTCAAATGATTTCAAATAATTAGTAATATATGTTATAATTGCATCAAAGTTATTAGTTGCATATTCATTACCTTCTTTGTATCTTATGTTGTTTAACATGTTCAAGTTGATGTTTTAGAACCATGCTACAAAAAATTATTTTGAACATTCTTATTAATGTAGCCTTCATCTTTATATGTTCAATACTTGAATCTTTTTTAATTGCTAAAAAATTGATATTATATCTCTTGTCTTCTATTTCCAAATCTTGCTTGCATGGACATTCTGTATTCACCTTGCATTGGTGTTTTCTTCTATTATAGAACCAATGCCATTTTATCTTTTTCAAGTTTTTTGATTTTGAGTTCCTATCAATGTCTATCATTGATAAGCTTTGTAGCAACTCATTTGATTATAAATAGTACTTCTGTAGATATTATACCCTACAAAACTCCTTTATATAAATATGGCATTGTAGAAGGGATAGAAATTTATTTTTATAAGATATTAGTAAAATAGATTAATCATTCTTAGGATAGTCAATTCAGTAGGATGGATGATTGAATTACTTGTGAAAAATGGTTAAATAAGGAATGATGGTTAGAATCTAGAATTTTAGAAATAAAGCATAAGTAAGTTGAAGAAGATATTGTAAAGGCGAGACTATGATAGTCATGAACCGGGGTAAGCTTGGTGCTACTTCTTTGTTTTTTTGTTGTTGAAGAGTAATGGATAGTTTTTAAATACTGAGAAGTGAATCTGTGGAATAAATCAGAGATTGATTTATGAGTTATTGATTATGTAATTGGAGTACTGTATGATTGAATTATATGAGAAGTTATTGGAAGATTGATTATAGATAGAAGATTATGATTATTGTTTATTGAGAGTTATGTGTGTTTCGACAAAGGAAGTCTGTGATTACAAAAATTATGTGAATCCAGATTGATTGGAGTGAAGTCTGTTATTTCTGGTGTTGGATGGAATTTATGTGTTTTGAGCAGTCTTTTGAGAATGCAGGATTGCACATTATTGTTATCAGTTGATAAAAGAGTATTATTACTGGGAAAAAGCATTGTAGTATTTCTGGGTGTTTTAGTGGTTTAAATTACGATTAATTGTATGACCCTAACGTGTAAGCTCATACATTATTCTTTTCCTATGTTTGAATCCCCCTCTATGGATTTATTCTGAATGGAATTTGTAGAAGAAGCAAAACAATAACCACATGCATTCCATTTAATATGATTTATACTAAATTTTTATTAAATACACTATCTTCCATGGCTGCCAATTTATTCTTTTTTTTACACACCTTTTCAATATAATCTTATAATGAACTTCATTTGTACATGAACAGTGTATGAAATTGACTTATTAACATTAATACTTATGCAAGTTCTCCAAATTAGAAATTCTATTTTAAAACTTTTCAAGCATCTACTAGATCTTCATAGTTTGCCACCATATCAATCAAGTCATCACTCATGGATAACATGATTGCACTCACATCTATATTCTTCATCTTTTGTTACATAAAATAATTGTAATCAATTCCATTTATCCTTAAAAGATATGATGTTGGTTCAACTTTTGTTTCTATCACCTTCTGTAGATTGTTTAAGATGCATAAATTATATTTTAAGTTATCAAAACAATAATGTAGAAATAAAAATAAAATTTTCTATATATTTTTCTACATTTATTGTAAACGTAATACAAAATGATTAATTTTGTATACATAAACTAGTTACAAATAGAATAGTTTAAAAATTAATAATTTATTTTTTACTGGTTTATTACTCTCGGCTCGACGACGAGGACGGATCTGATGGAGGACTGGACCGGATTGCGTCGCTCACGGGGCGCCGATGCCGCGAGCTCACAGCCAGCACCTCCACGCGACCGCCGGGATGGCAAGCAAGGTGCTCTCAAACCCGCACCACCAGCTCGTCCCATTGCACGAACATCAGAAGGAGCTGCAGCACTACGACCCAGCATGCTGGAGCATCTGGCCGGAGCTTCGGCGATCATGACTTCCATGTCGATGGATGCGATGCGAATTTTCGGGGACGCTGCAAACGAACCCGGTGAAGCAAACCCGAGGGGGAGAGATCGGGAGCAGGAACTTTCGGAGCGGTGTGAGCGTTGTTGTGAGCGTTGTTATGAGGGAATGCGATTGTGGGCACGGCTTTATATGGGCACGCGCCCAGGCGAGTGATGGGTTTGACGGGACCGCAATCTGAAGATTCTGGGTTGACTCACAGTCAAGCACGAGAAAGTATGGTTGCCGCTGCCGGCAGCTGGGACGCCCACATGTACGACCAATCGGGCACTTTACTTGATCATCACCAGCGGGACAACGGGGCAAGGCGGGGCTTCGTTCGAAGAACGACTTGCCGACAGTGGGGAACTGGGAAGTGGGGGCGATGGAAAGCATTGCATTGCAGAATGAATGATTTTTAGAAATCATCTTCTAAATAAGTGTGACGTTTCAAAACATTATTTACTGTCTTATTATTTTTCAATACCATTATGATTGTTTATTTTAGATATATCATTTGAAGATTGTTCTTGACAGAATCTTGACCAACAAACTTGACCAATAATAAAAAATTATATAACGTGTTATAAAAGTTTATTTTAATCAACATTATTTTATTATATTTGAAGCATTAAAAATTTTATCTTTATATCAAGTTCTTTTAAAGATAAAAGCATATCTTTCTTACTTGGTATTCTAAGAGTAGTTTCTTGTTTCTTGATCACATATATATGATTTTAAAATATAGCTATCATGGGCAACTATGCAACTCAGTTTTAAAATAGTTTTTAAAACAAATATTTTTGTGACGCCTGGCCCGCACTGGTGGTCACACAAATAGCTGATGTTGCCCCTGGTTTGTGATGGTTCCTGGTGTTGCAGTGAAGAAGCAGACTTTCACGGTGTACGAGCTGAACGAGTTCGACCGGGACAGTCCCACGTTCTTGGAATTGAGCAGACAGTCCGTCAACAGAACGGATCCGGTGACCGGAGAACACGTCAAGGCTCTTGGCGACTAGGTCCCTTTCACCAACAAGGTTAGTGGCGCTGGGCGGTGTGCAGTGATAATTACAATCCCCAGCCTCGTGCGCTACCGACAAGTTAGAGTCGTGTACCCAGGTCCGTCACCCTTGAAGTTGGATCACACGGGTAAGAAGGGGCGCGGGGGTCGCTGAGGACTGAGGGTGGGGGAATTGGTGTGTGTATGTGCAGCTGTACGATTCGTCGTTGCGGACGAGGCTGGGCATCACGACGGGAATCTGCCTGCACATGAAACAGTATCAGGAAAGGGGGGCTCTCGAACTACACAGCTTGCCATTCTTCACACCCGATCACTACGAGACCATCATGAGCTGGTACTTGGGCGACATGGGCCACATCAGCGGCATGTTGCGATCCCGTTTCCAAATGCAACTCCACAGTTGGACTGGGTGATCAGGCGTCCAGAATGTAGAACGTTGGATGTTGGAGGGCTGTTGGGTGCTGATGAATTGAACTGTGGGGTGGGACGGGGACTCGGGGCGCAGGGGCCGTTCATCAACTTCCAGGACACGCTGATGGGCGTCACGGGAGGCACGGGGTTCTTCGCGGAGGCGAGAGGAGTGGTGCGACTGCATCCCATCACGCCCTTCAAGTTCATGTACACGTTCACGCTGACGGGCATCCCCAAGCTGCCGGAAGTGCTGACCAAGGAGCTGGTGGTGCCCGGGTTCGGAGTGGAAGCGCACGCGGACGCTGTGCAGGGCAAGCCGGAGAGCACGCTGGCCAACTTCACCAACTGATGATTGAGGGGCAGGCTGGGCGAGAGGAAAGCGTGGAGTGAGGGCAGCGACGTGGAAGATGAGAGCCCATGGGGCTGGTGGAGGATGCGGCGTGGCGTAGCCCGGAGGAGCAAGGCAGTGGAAGCTGTGGGCAGCAGAGGAATGGGGACTTGTACAGTTGGGGGGCGGGGGAGTAGTTTGGGTTTGAGAATGCTTATGAGTGTCATTTAAATATATATATATATATATATATATATATGGATGCATTTTCTTATTAAAATTTTAATATTCTTAATTAAAATAATTAAAATATTTTTTTTACATTTTTATTTATATAAATATAAAAGTAATGAAAAGACTTTAGTAAGATAACAGAGTTTTTCTCCAAATCGGAATAAAATGCTTCTAATCTGCTTGAGTGTTGGCTATGCTTAAAATCCAATTTTAATGTCAATCTACCAACAACAATAGCTCTTTGTTGCATTGTTTATTAGCCTTTAAAATTTTCAAAAATATTGTAATCCAAGTTTGCTATCAGCTTACAAAAATTTATTTCAACACAATTGGCAAATTGTTCAAAATCATAGAAATCTTCATTAGCCCTTAAAATCTAATTTTTGACATCTTTATCCAATTAAATTTCAATAATCTCTGATTTCACCATTCAATGAATTTAAAATTTCTAAAAAAAATTAGGACAAGTAGATGCTTAACTCTTTAATTTTTTCACATGTCAAACTACTACAATATTTAAAAAATCTTCTAAAATATAAAGCCTTTTTTATTTCACAAAACCTTGAATTTCCTCATACAACCTTAACTTTGTAAGGCTCCCGTAAAGTCAATATCTACTCAAATCACTCAAAATTAATACTTAAGTAAACCCTAAGAAAATTCCTTCTTAACATTGCTTTTTAATCAACAAAAAAACCTCAAATTTTTATAGGTGTATAATTTTGTGCTTTGGAATCTGATTTTTAACTTGGTTTTTAATCAATTCTCTCTTCATATCAATCTCTAGTTTTTTTAGATAATTTTGCTAGAAGATATTCTTTATTTTTGCTTAAAAATGGTTATAATATTATTTATTCTAATTTATTTATTTTTGTATTATTTGTGGCCTTGCAAAGTAAATAAAAGTCCATTTTAGAAAAATACATCATTAGTACTAAAAGTTATTACTACCTTTTTATCTTTTATCTATACTTTTTAAAGTAATTTTTTAATATATTCTTTTAATCAAGCTCTTCAATAATATAATCCATATTTTTTTTTTCTTTCATCTAGTAGCCATATTGCAAGACAACAATGACCAAAATATATAGCCTAAGTCACGAAAAAAGAGGCAAAATTCTCTTTCAATAGCCAACAATCCCAAACACTTGTGTGCTAGTGCAATATTGTTTATAGGATCCTACATGCTACTTTAAGGTTTTTTCGTAGATAAAGAATAATATTTTAGTCAAATTCTAATTTAAGATCTTTTGACCAAACTTACTATTTGATTCAATGCATCTTATTACATCTTGATGTGGCCTTAAGGCTAACATCTTATTACTAATGGCCCTTGAGAGATTCCATTGGATCATTTAAAAGTCACTTTTGATAGGTTTCCATGTTATGTAAAATTGAGCTTAAGAATGCATTAGAAATTTGGATATCAAAGTATTAGATCTTACTTTAAATCTCAATTTATAATCCAAAAAAAAATATATAAATATATCTAAAAATACCTTTTTGATAATCTTAAATAACCTTAAAAAAATCATATTACACTCTAATCAATTTCAAATAAATCTTAAATAATATTTAAATAATAATAATTAAATTTTAAAAAATCATAAATTTTCTTGAAAAAATTCTATATATATCATAATAGAATCCTAAGCAAATTTTAATTAAATATTTATTAAATATTTATCAAATTCTAATAGAATTTTAATATAATAATTATTAAATTCTAATAATTTTTTAAATAATCATTAAATTTGATAAAATATTTAATTATTTAAGATAAAATATTTAATTTACTTAGGATTTAATAAATAAATATTTAATAAAATTTTAATAAATTATGATTTTTTAATCAAAAATTAGGCTTAAAAAATCTTAATCAATGTTTAATAAAATTTTAAAATAAAATTTAAATTTATATTATTATTAATTTAATTATTTATTTTAATATAAAATTTTCATCCATATTGATTTACTAGATGAAAAAAATTACAAAAAGTTTGAAGAAATTAAAAATAAAAGATTAAAAAAAATGCTATGGTATTTGTTGTCTTTCTTATCTAATCTTAATGTAAATCTTCTAATGTCAATATCTCTCATTTGATCCTTTAAGTTATTTTCAAATTTTTCATAAATATTCAAAATTAAATAAACCATTAAAAATAAAAATAAAATTTATTTCAATTCAATTAGAAAAATTGCTAAAAATTGTTAAAATCCTAAATGACCTTCAAATCTCAATTTTCAAGATCCTAATTTACTTGAATCTCAATCAATTTTGATTTGACCATCAAATAAAGTTTAATTTTTTAACATGAATTAAAATAATTATATTCATAAATCCAAAAAATTCACCTTCAGATCTACTACAAAACTCCACAATCTACCAAAATATAATATCTTTATTATTCTACAAAAAATATAGTATTTCCTTAGTAAATCTTACTTAAAGATGGTGGAGGCCCCTCTCCCCTTCTTAAATTATTTTAAAAAATCTTAACTTTATCATTTAAATATCTTTTAATTTTTTTACACAATGAAGTAGCCTGAAATTTGGCAATTCTTTTTCTAATGCATGCACTAAGATATTAGATCTTAAACTCAAATCTAGACAATGCATAAACCTCTATTTTTTTAAAAAAATGTCATACCTTTCTAGTTTAATTTTTTTTTATAATTAAGATGAGATGCTATCTCTTATTTGTATTTTTTGTATTTTTTCTTTATCTTTTATTAAGTCTTTTAAGTTTGTCTTGATGTATAAAGCTTATGTATCTATTAATGAATTGTAAGGATTTTTATCTCCATTAGACTTTTCTATAGCTATTGAATTTTTTAACTAAAATTTGCTTTGCTTCAATATATTTTTATATTATATGAAAGTGATTTGCAATAATTTAATAAAAAATCTATTTAAAAAAGACCAAATATTTAGACTTGATTTCTTAAAATCTTGTATCTGCTTTGTACAAGCTTCTTAAGGTTATTCAATATAATGTCCTCTTGAATTAGAATCCTTCTTTAGTCATTTACTTCATATAAAATTTCTTCTACCATGTTCTTTATGAATTTCATGGTCTCTTGGTTCTTTATATCTGCTTTTAAAAAACTACTAGACATTCTTAAGTTTCATTGATCTTAGTTTCAACTGACATGTTTATTTTTTGATTTAATTTCTTAGTATTTTCTTTACTTTTGGTCTTTTAATGATATTCTTTCACATTGTATCATGTGATTTTTTCTTACTTTGAAAAAAATACTTTTTCATCTTTATAGTCACTCCTTCTTAACAACCATTATATTCCTTTTAATGATTATTAATTTTCTTCTTTGTTGCTATTTTCTTCTTATAATCCATGACTTTCTTATTAAATGTTGTGACCAAACTTTAAATATGGCTACACTTTCTTTTTTTGATTCATTAGAATTCTTATAGTGGATATCTTTTGAAGATACACAAATATTGAGTATCTTTCATATCTATAAATTTCTTATTAAGAATTATTTTAATTTTTGTACCATGGTTTTATTCTACATCTTATCTAAAGATGAAATTATTGATTTTTCTTTGTAGTAATCATTCTTCTATTCTATAAATTTTTTAAGCACATCCACATAAAAAATTAGATATTACTTTAATTTTTTTATTATGTCTAAGATATATATATATATATATATATATATATATATTCTTATGTAATATTTTTTAATAATATAAGATCCTATCCACTTTTGATTCTATTTTAAGATATAATATGATAAAAAAGTAAAATTTCTTATATTCAATTATACCTTGTTATTTTATTTATAGTAGAAAAAATATCATATACATCCTTGAAATATGTTGAAATATCAAAAATATCCTTATATTCTTAGTAATAAAAAATATATTCTTTAATTTTGTAATAATTTCAAATCTATCATTGAACTTAATAAGGTATAATCTAATTTCTATTTTAGGTGAAACCACATGCCACTCATATTTTTGTAAGATACTTTTTTGCACAAGTCAAGCCTCCTACAAATAGAACACTTTTGATACTTTTGTTGCTATATTTCATTTGTTACTTATATTTATCTTTATTGGTGGCATCAACACTCTATTATCTGAATGATCAAATCCAAGTTTGATAATATATGAGCCTCTATGTAATAGATCTATTTTCTATCTCTACCTTATTATAATTCTTTAAAAATAAATATAACATATTTTGGCAGATATATCTTATGGTATCATAGATAAACATATTTATTCTAATAATTACCTATATGATTAAGTAGAAGTAGATAAAAATAAAGTTATTTCATAATAATTTTTAGAAAAGCTTTTTAGAAGCTTTATAAATGATGCTTTGACTTTACCTGTATTTATAATTAATTGATAGGTTGAAAACTTTGTCAATAAGTTAACCACGTATTAGTAGCTTGCAGAACAAGTTAATTATGTGGCATTGTTGTATAATAATACAACTATATGGTAAAAAATAAAAACATAGATGTTGTTATAGACAAGCTTAGTAAGAAAATGTGATAGAAAAATAAGGATAAATGATGAGAAGATAATAAAAGATTTATTCTTAATATTACCTTTTAAAGAAAGAACTTCTATTTTCTTTGTAGAAGCATAAATACTCCAAATTAAAGTAAATGAGATAATTAATTGATATAGACATATTAGAAAAAAATTATCAATAGATTCAAGTAAAAATTACCTTAAATTACTAAATATTCATATCTAAAGAGGACTTGTTGTCAACTTGGGTTAAAGTTAGACCCTAAGTCACAAAACCACATATTTATGGCAAATCTAAGGTTCTTTAGTAGATTAAAGAGTAGAATTTGAGAGCAGACTTACAGAGAGATTTTTGGGCATTG